AGTAATTTGTAAATAATAAAATAACATAAAAATAATAAAATAATATATATTTTTCTAATGTAAATATATAAAATAAAACAAAAACTTATAAAATATAAATATATAATTATTGAGTTGATGTTTATGAAAAAAGTTGATAGGTTCAATTTCCAAGAAAATCAACACCCTCTACTAAAGGGTACGATTAACACTCCCCAAGAAAATCATATTGAAGGCTACATAGAGGTGCCATTAGCCTCTCTCTATATTTTTTTTAATACATTTTTTTTAGAATATAGCCTTTTGTTTTCATTTTTACTACTTTGTACAAAACTTTCAAATTGTTTTCAATCAACTCATCTCATTGTACCCATTTCTTTTCTTAAAGTTTCAAAATACACCCTTCTAGTTTTACTCATACTACTTTTATAGTAATTTCTGAAATTTATTTTTTAATATGATCCATCCATTTAAAAATATAAGAGTCTGTTTGATTTGCAGAATAACTTATGGAATTTAGAACTCTATTTGCATTTTGTTTAAATGAAATCCAACGAATTCAATAAAATCCCACAAATATTGGATTCAATATCACCATAGGGATAAAGTTGATTGTCCATTAGAAAAAGATGTGAAGTAGGGTTGTGCAAAAAGTTATCCAATCAACTATATATAATTGTTAACAATTTACGATATATCTTTTTAGTTGATATTTATGTACATTGTTTTTAATAACTTAAGAAAATATATAAATAATTGATTGAAATGTTGGATTAACTGGTTGAGTATTAGATCAAAAGAGTGGACGAATCCAATTCAATCTAATAGATAACCAATCCTAACATCCAACGAATAGAACCGATCTGATCCAATCATCCACTGGATTTTAATTAGATAAGATGTCTAATGTTAATCGGATCAGATCGTATGACAAAATCCAACATCCAATTGGTGATTGGATCGGATCCACCCAAATCCATTGGATTTCAACCGATTAACACCCCTAATGTGAAGTTTCTACAACAATTATGTCATTTATACAAAATTTGATGTGAAATTACTAATATACCCCTGGTTTCAAGTTTTAGTTTTAAAATAACTACAACTTTAA